TAATCATGCCCAACAAGATAAGCAGTTGTCGGTTTGCTAAAGGAGATAGGTTTACCACAGTAACTATAGTAGAATGGAGGGTTATATTAACGTCGTTGTTTTGTTTAGTGATATATGGGACATTTAATGCCTAAATTTAATTTTCTTGGGAGCATTTAGTAAGCATTAGTAAGCATTTTTTTTTATTATTTTTACAAAAATATATAGCTGGTATTTTTTACTGAGAGAATCTATTACTGGTATTTTTAGTATAAATATTTTTAGTATTTTGACCCAAGTTTGGTGGTTCACTATTTGCCCCTAGCTGGGACATGACAGGTGCTACCACCGCGGGTCTGGGAGGGCCTGGTAACAACAGTATTTAATAGGTGGTTCCACGCACCTCAATACCTCCATTCTCCCGATCAGAGACCTTACTGCCGGATGTAGTTTATCCTCATACCCAGGACAGTATTAACGATATATTAAGTTGTATCTTTAATTAATACAGTTCGATAAGCTTGTAATATTTTTAGAAAATTTTCACGTAGTCCTGTGACTTTTTAAACGTCGGTGTTCTGCAGTTAATGTGTGTATTTGTCGCGTTGAAGATAATTGTAACTGAAACTAATTAAGTTATTGTGAAATTATGTTCACGCCAGTGCTTTTGCAGAAGAATGATCGCTCAGCATTTTTTGGCTAATGGAAAGGTTTAGAAAATTTCAACAGATTTGAATATTCGCGCAGTACTTTTTGGCTAATAGAGACACTCGACAAAAACTGAGTAAGCAATCACAAAGAAACGTCTTTTTATATCTGGTTACAGAAGTTTAAGAATAAAATCGACCATTTACTGACTACTAAGACGTACCCAATAAGAACTGTAGTGAAGCACTAACTCCCTTTTTATATATCCGTATATATTTAAATCGTTTAATCTTTTAATAATATATACGGAGAAGCTTATAATGAACTGTACACGGTATGAAATAAATATTGTTTACTGTGAAAGCATTTGAATTAGGTACATTAACAAAAGCTTGTGCTAGTTGAATAGTTACTTTAGTCATCTTTTGTGTGCTGTATAGCGGATGATTTTACATCTCCACAGTTTCCTATACTTTGAAGCTCTAAGCGATATTTTTCTTTTGAATATGCCTCCCAGTTCTTGTTCTACCGTCAGTTAATCAGGCTTGTTAGGTGTATTACTCGCTGTTTTTCCTTTGACTCCATCCGTATGCATTGAGGGCCATTCACTACGCAAGCAATATAAAAACAGTATGCGGTATTTCTTGGTATTCGCACCAGAAAACCCCACTAAGACCATTTCAGAGTGTTTGGGTGTCAGTCCGAGGACAGTTCAGAGGATTCAGAAAGAGTTGGACGATATATCCAGTCAATATCATGGTTTTTGGAGTGATCACTAGTGATGTCGACGTTATGTTTTCATTCGTCTTCCTACAGGGCCTCAGATTCAACACGGAAGCCTACATCAAGTGCCTTGAGGAGATATGCTGCCCTGGGTCAATAGGGTGGCTGCTAGAAGACCCTTAATCTGGCAACAGGGCTCTGGAACATGCCACACCAGCAAGAGAACCCAATCATGGCCTTCAGACAATTTCTGCGACCATATCACCCCTTACATCTGGCCACCTAACTCACCAGACTGCAAACCCCTTGATTAATATGTATGTGGCACAGTTGAGCGAGAAACCCCCAAAAACTCCTTGCAATTCCAAAGATGAATTGAAGGCCAGGATTATGGCAGCATTCACCAAAGAGATCGTTAAGAACAGATGCAGGAGATTCCGATGTCGTTTGGAGGATATGGTTGAAGCCAATTGCAATTTTAGTGAATAATTTTCCTCTTTAGTATTTCACGATATTTTTTGTGTAATTTTGGAAAACATATCTGTAAGAATGAGATGCCAGTGGCATTTTCATTTTTGCGTCAATTAGGCGACAATTTATCCATCGCACCCCGTATATGTCCCATAAATTTTAACTTTTCTTTCTGCTTATCAATACAAGTGTTATTGTTGTTTCTATTTCTTTAAAATCTCCTCGATGGTCATGGGTTCAATCTACAGTATTCCCTGCATCTGTTGCCTCAACTTTCATCTTCATCCGTGAGGAAATTACCCTGCATTTAGTGCCGTATAAGAACATTGACAAACGTCCTACAGAAGGTAGCGAAGGAAAGCGAGAAGAAAGGACAAAGTATAAGCTACAAGAAGACAGAATGCATGGTCATCAGCAAAGGGAGGAGCCTAAAGTACAAATTACAAAATCGGGTATACTAGAATCAAAGAAAATTTAAATATCTGGGAAATGTTCTAACGGAGGACGCAAAGAACGACACAAACATCCAAAGACGTGTTGGGATGACCGAAGATGCCTTCCAAAAGCTAAGCAGAGTATTAACAAACAGAAACAAATAAAGAGTACTGAACTTGAAGCAACAGAAATGTGGTTCTACAGAGAGATGCTGAGGATACCATGGATGGAACATGTGAGCAACGACGAGGTTTTAGTGGAAATGGAAACAAAAAAGAAACAGGAAGAGGCATTTGGAATTTCTAGGTCACATAATGAGGAAGAAGGGCTTGGAAAATCTGATGCTCACGGGATTGACCGAAGGAAAGAGAGACATTAGAAAGCAGTCCGCAACGTACATGATAGGCTTGATCAAATAGATGGTTGGACAGTGTTTGGGAGAAATAACAAAAAGACAAAACTTATTAAGAACTACAAGGCACAGGATGTTGTGGAAGGGTCATGATCCCCTACAGCTTGAATGGAAGTGACAAATAGAAGAAAAAGGTATTGCATCGCTTTTCAGCACTCGTATTTTAATTTCTAGCGAAAGGTTCCTGTTTCTTAACTCTTTGCTTAGCTTTTGGAAGGCATCTTTCACTATTGAAATGCGCCTTCGGATTTCTGTGTCGAATATTCCGTTGTTTGTTAAAACATTTTCCAGTCGTTATCAAGACGTACAGCTAAAGATAAACCTGGAATTGAAGGGGTCAAAATTAACAAGTACCAGTCTAGTCTTGCACTACGCGTTGCTCCGAATCAAATGCAGATTCAACTGGCAAAGTTTATACGCCAAACAGTGGTGACAGGATATAAGATCTCAGTGGCATTCTGATTAATTTTCATTCAACTATCCAGTATTTTGACACAGAAAATTTCTGTCACGAAAGAAGACCAAAAAGGCAGTTTTATTTCTAACATTATGTTTTGATATTTTTTTCGTGTATCATTGTCGAATAGCAAATAAACACTTAAAACGACGAACATTCTAAGCAATATAAAAGAAGAAAAGTTAATTGAAAAGATAAGAATAAACAAAACGAATTTTCAATGTGTTTTCAAATATCTGACAAAGTGTGATGACGTCTTTACAACGGTTTAGAATCAATAAGAATGTTCCGAAGTTCGCTCGAAGCACGTTCAATAATTATGGAGAATGACGAAAATAAAATGGATGAAAGAAAAAAAAAACATATAACTGCGTAAAAACTAATGGCCGATGTCCTTCTAAAATGTCCTTTAGCAAAAAATTAATCCTGTCCAGAATTCTAAGGACGAACAAAATAATTAGGATTTATTCATTTTCTTTAAATTTTCCTACAGCAAAAGTAAGTCGAAAGTGATGATGCATAGAATTATTTTAATATTTATTTTGTCACTTTTTATTTATTTTTTAAATTTTTCTTTTCTTTTTTTCTTTTGACTTCTTGAGTTTCTCATTTATCTGCTTCGATTTGTTTTTCTGCTTCTTGTTTTTTTTCCATTTTCTGATGTTTTTATTGCATGTTTTCTCATTCCTTTCTTGTCTATTCTTTATTTTCATTTTTTTAACTCGAAGATACAATCAAGTTGTTGACGTGCCATATTACTTCGAACAAATGCTTAAGAAGAAAGCCTCCATCAATACTGTAAAGAACGTGAGAAACCTATTTGACAGAAAGATTGTTTTAAGATAAAGATTTGAAACATTTCAACCAACAATAGTATTGGCTACTCTGTCAATGAATACCGGAAGTTTCATTATATGGTCACGGATAATATTAGCATTATCATTTATTATTTTTCTCTATTTTCTTTACCTTTTCGTCTTTTTTCTCTTTTTTCTTGCCTTTATTTCTTTTTTCTTTTTTTTTTCTTTTGGTCTTTCCTTCTTTTTTTTTTCTTTTTCTTTGCCTTTCCTTCTGTTTTTCACTTTCTTGCCTTTCCTTATTTATTTCTTTTCTTTAACATTATTTCTTTTTGTCTTTGTTTTGTCTTTCTTTCCTTTTCTCTTTCTTCTTGCCGCCTTTTCTTCGTTCTTGTTTTCTCTTCTATTCTTCTTGGCTTTTATCTTTCTATTTCTTACTTTTTCTTTTCCTTTTCATTCTTTTTTAATTTTTTGCTTATTTCTTTTGCTTCATCTATTTATTTTCTTTTATCCTTTTTCTTAAATCTATATATGCATATATACCAACCTTACTGACATACTTTCACTTCACAAGTCAGACAAAAATGACTATTGCTGCCATATTAGGTATGTACTTGTCCTGTTCTCATTTTTCAGTCTTGAAAGTACAAGAAACGTTTACGCGACCTTGTGAGCAATTAATTATTTCCAAATCTTCAATGAGTTGTCGGTTTGTAAATAATTAATTCCCACAGATGAAAAGTTGCTAGTCTATCACTACTCTGTCGCTATTTTCTAGGCAGATGTTCAGACAAGCGACACACTTTCGTTCAACTTTTCCAGACTTTCAAAGCTAGGACCCATTATATCCCGTGCACAGTTAACACACCCTTCCCTTCCTATTCTATTGGCAAAGACGAAGTTCTACTGAGACAGCGTCTTTCTTAGAACTGTTAGGCTGCTAAACAGAACCACGAAAGGATGTTTATGCGACCACGACAACCGTAACGTCTTCGTCCGTGCTCAATCGTTATATATCCTACATATCCTTAAATGTTTGACATCTTAATCCCTCATATGGTCTACTGGCACATCACATTGAAAGTCTGTTTCCCGTACGACCCCCGAAGTTAAGCAACGTCGAGTTTTGTTAGTACCTAAATGGGCGACCGCTTGGGAATTCTTGGGGCGGCTACGTGTAAATTAGTCGGACACGTTTCGCTAAAAATCATTATTATCTCGAAAAAATATAACAATCTAAAACTATATATATTTGTTCTGTTTTATATTCTGTTGTATATTTAAGGAGACTATATGTGCATAAATATACGTAAATGGTTTTTATAAACCATTATTAACCCCCAAATGATTAATCTCCACAAAATACGCAGAGAATATTTATATTTAGGCATTAATAATCCATAGAGTTGTTGATATGACGCTAAATAATCAACCAAAATCTTACTTCCTTTTTTTACGTCATTACAGCATGGTCAATTAGTACCCTTCTATCTTAAGTGGCTCTTGGGGCTTGTACTTGGGGTAGAATAAGTTAAAGAACTTATTTGTTTCTTTTCTTCATTTCAGCTTTTTCTTTTTCCTTCTTATATTAATCTCCCTTTAATGTTTTTATTTATTTCTTTTTTTTTTCGTTTTTTACCTTCTGTCTTTTCTTTTTCATGTAATTTTTCGTTCTACGTTTTCTTTTCTTTTTTTATTCTAAACACATTTTCCAACTTGTATATTTCCTGTCATGTTTTTTTCTTTATCACATATTTGCGTGTTGCTTTTTATTTTCTTATAGTCTCTCTTTCTGTTTGGAGTGCCATTTTTCAGCGTCTTTTTCCTCAAAGTCTTTTTATTTTCTTTATGCTTTTTACTAAAAGATGTTGTATTACTTCAGTTCATTCCCGTCTTAAGTTTAAGAAAGATACAGAAGTCGTAAAAAGATAAGAACAAATGCCCCCTTCTTTCCTCCTTTCTCTGGGCAATCCTAATCGTTTTATTACCCCTTAAACAGAGGTACATTTTCTCCAATAGAAGCATTTGGATTATTACTACACACAAAAGACAATGGTTAAACTTAAGAAAACTTAAGGAAAAATTTATTCTTTTAAATCATACGTGGAAATAAATATTTTTCGCCTAATGAAGGTCACACATCTCAAAACCCGTGTAGCAAAATTATAGAAAATAATATATAATATATATTTTTAAAAAAAATCCACATTATAACCAAAAAACGTTTGCAGCCTCCATTTTCTCTTTTAGCATATATATATATATATATATATATATATATATATATATATATATATATATATATATATATGATGGACTCTCCCATCGAGTTCAACGTATGAGGTTCTGACGACCGTGAACTAATTATCTGCATGCTTATGACGGGCATGACAGCTTATGACAGCCCTTATGGAAGACAACCAATCGTTTAATGTGCCATCTATAAGGTGTCCAAATTAATAAAAAAAACTTGATAGATAGAAATTCTTGATATTATTCAACCAAACATGTTTAAAAGAATTCTTGCTGCCGAAATACACTTTTATGATGGACCCTCCCGTCGTGTCCATAGTATGTGCTTCCGACGGCCACGAGCTAATTATCTGCATGCTTATGACGGGTATGACTTTTGAGACCGGCTCGAGAATTGCACAAAAGACGACACACAGTACAGAAAAATGTATTGTAGTCAAGTGCAGCAGGAACACTGTTAACTGTCTTATTTTGCTTTCGTGTTTCACGTAGTCGACTGATATTTTTTGATGGTGTATTATTCCTGAATGGCAGCTAGAACGATACTCTGATCTCTTCATAGCTACCTCTTCAAAGTTCCAGAATGGAATGTTGATGCAAGAAAGGTTGCTTTTCAGTTTATCTTTATACCTGAGCTAAGGTCAACCAACATTTCTATGACCAATAAGGAGTTCACTGTAGATAAGAACTTTCGGTATGCGATCATCACTCATCCTTGCCACATGGCCAACCCAACATAGTTGTGATTGCATTATGAAGATCTCGATGGTACCAATCTTGCATTTGTCAAAAAGGGCACCATTTGATACTGGATAATCAAACGTCAGACCACAGATTGTACGGTGAATTTATAAATTATGATAATATAAATTGTTTTAGAGAAGTGGGAGTGAATTATGGTAGCTAAATAAGGCAACATTCCTCTATGGGAATTAGAATTAGTTTTTGGTTTATTATGTAGACATTTGAAGAGTTAGAGATAGGAGTCAGGGAGTGATTTGGGGTAGCTAATTAAAGCAAAACCATCTTATGGAAATTTGAATTTGTTTTCAGCTCGACATTTAAACACTAATTCGTTCCTCTGATTCAATAGTTTGCTTTCATGTAGTATAATATTTTCATTTTTTCTTCTCAGAAGAAAAAGATATATGTGTGTGTGTGTTTGTCTCTGTGTGTATGTCTGAGTTATACACATAATTACATTGTCTATGATACTAGTCCCAAACATTACTCACACCTCCATCTGTTGTCTACTTTGGTTGAATGATACCAACCTCTAGTCCAGATTTCAGGTCCATTCAATGCACCTCTACCTTCATTACTAAATATTACTGTCGTGAAATCGGTTTTTGAGTACTTTTTCAACAGAATTACACGTTCCTCTTTGGGCTATCTATGAAAATGTTGGCTAGTTTCATGTCCTTAGCCAATGTTCTTAATATTCTACATTGTTTTTTTTCTATTTACATTCACAATAGCCGCTTCTTGTGGTCAACCTGACTAGCCTCATTAAACTTTACCCGACAGTTTAGTTGATTGCTTTTACAACCTATAAACTCTTAATAGTTTATTTAATCTCAAATTATGTGTAGGGCTCTGAAACTTGGACACCTTATGTATTATTGTGCATTGGTTGCCCCCCTTCAGTTTGAATTTTATTTGCTGTGCTTTCCTTAACAAACAATATTAGAAAGCAGCAGACAAGTTATAATAGGTGCAAGGAGGATTGAACTCACTATAGTAATGGTCAACCAGTCTAGCCATGTTAACCATGAAATGTATCTATATTTGCCCCACTTCCTACAATATAAATCCTGTTAAACAAATCAAAACCTCTCCTGTAGACCATTTATTATTTGTCATTTTAAAAAGATAGCAGCTATCTATCTATCTATCTATCTATCTATCTATCTATCTATCTATCTATCTCATTCTGTTCATATCTATCTATCTATCTATCTATCTATCTATCTATCGCATTCTGTTCATGTCTGTCTATCTATCTATCTATCTATCTATCTATCTATCTATCTATCTATCTATTCCCATAATCTGTGGCAAAAAGAACCAGTTTCATGCATGAAATTTTTATAGTTGTTATGTTGGCCAGCGCATCTATCACTGAAATATTCTATTAATCTTATATTAGGTAAATGCTCGTTAATATAGCCTGAAATAAGACGCCATAGTTTATGACCATAGCAGGCATTCTGAACCAGATCATCAGAACTGAAAGATAATAATGACATTTCAGCACATTTCTTAAATTCCTTATAGCAATATATAATGTACGCTGATCCTTTGTCCAGCATTAGCTTTGTTTTCAAATAAATATTCCATACAGTACATAATGTACGCTGATCGTTTGTCTAGTAACAGCTTTGTTTTAAATTATATACGCCCATCCAATATGTAATGTACGCTGATCCTTTGCCCAGTAATGGCGTTGTTGTCAAATACATATACCCATGCAATATGTAATGTACGCAGATCCGTTGTCCAGTAATAGCTTTGTTTTCCAATGCATATTCTCATGCAATATGCACGCTGATCCTTTGTCTATTAATAACTTTGGTCTCAAATACATATTCCATGCAATATGTAATGTGCGCTGATCGTTTGTTCAGTAATAGCTTTGTTTTCAAATACATATTCGCATGCAATGTGTAATGTACGCCGATCCTTTGTCCAGTAATTGGTTTTTGTTCAAATACATATTTTCATGCAAATATGTAATGTACGCTGATCCGTTGTCCAGTTATAGCTTTGTTTTCAAATAAATATTCCCATTCAATATGTAATGTACGCTGATCCTTTGGTCTGTAATTGCTTTGTTTTCAAATGCATATTCCCATGCAATATGGAATGTACGCTGATCCTTTGTATATTAATAGCTTTGGTCTCAAATACATATTCCATGCAATATGTAATGTAAGCTGATTGTTTGTTCAGTAATAGTTTTCTTTTCAAATACATATTCCAATGCAATATGTAATGTACGCCGATCCTTTCTCCAGTTATAGCTTTCTTTTCAAATAAATATTCCCATGCAATATGTAATGTACGCTGATGCTTTATCCAGTAATAGCTTTGTTTTCAAATACATATCCGCATGCAATATGTAATGTTCTCTGACCCTTTGTCCAGTAATAGCTTTGTCTTCAAATACATATTTGCATGCAATATATAATGTACGCTGATGAATGGTAGTTAACTTCAAAACCTACTCCATGCCTTATTATTTTTGTACGAACTTCTAACAAAATTGTAAAATTGACAGAAGCAATGGTTGGAAGAAAAGCGGAAAATTTAAAAATATTGACAAGCGTATCAACATTTTTAATTCTAGATTGTCAAGACTTCGAAATAAAGATGCATTAATACCATTATTAGAGCAGTGAACCAGGCATTCCGCCCTTCAATTAACATATCCCTGCTTTTCTGTGAATATAAAACCCAAGGAAAGCTATCATTACCATCAGACTCAAACCAAGATTTAGAATTCACCAATGAATTTAAATTCAAAAGATGAGCCGCTCAGAGCTAGAGGGATTTTTTTTTTAAATAACACATTCTTCAATGCCGCTGGAAATAGTGTTAAATATCGCCTTACTTTACTTGAAAACATCAACGACCCCTCGGAAAATTGTGTAAAACTAATCAACACCCCAACTAGCCAAGTGTCATATACGTAATTGTTCCTGTTCGCTTAACTAAAAATAACACGACATTATTATATTATTATCAAAATATGGTATTAAAATATTCTGGGTACAAATCCGAACACAAACAGTGAATTTCCTACGGAATTTATCGTTCATATAATCCAATTCCATTTATTATTCACAAAATCTAATTCCATCTTTTGATATATCTTGTAACATATAAATAAGATTCTTAATAGAATTTCTTGCAGAAA